TTTTTTTTTCACTAAAAGACAAAAATTTTGCAAAACTAAAAAAATACATCCAAACAAAATATCACATCCAACCCCATAATCATTTCGTTTTTTCTCTCACAAACATCACATCTAGCCACAAAAAAATCCAACTATCTTTCCAAACACAAAAAAATTTTTCTTCAATAATATCCTACATCTAAAAAAATCTACATAAAAATTCACTTCCCAAACACCATCATAATCTTGGATGTTTTCATGGTTTGCCATTTACTTTCAGATGAATTAATAAAATAGATTAGGAAATATAAAATTATTTGCAAATTAGTTTGATGCATGTTCTCTTTCTAGGTGAAGTACTAAAGTGATCAAGAATCTTGATACGTTTCGACTGGGAAAATATGTGGAGAATTCTGTAGAGCATGCTTTGACTGACGGCTTCTTATTAAAGATTTTGCTGCAGAGCCCGGGAATTTATTAATGGACTGCCACTAAAATGGTAATTGTTATAACATACCTAGAAGATGAAGAGCAAAGACCTCAAGAACTGAATTGTAAATCCAAAAATCAACCCCTTCTCTTCCGTAATAATGTTCAATTGTACACTAACCTTACATGGAAATTCTCAAAAATGTCTTTCCATTGAGATTTTATTTTGTCTGCATGCTTACTTGTGATATTACTTGACTTAAGCTTCAGGGTGGTTTTCTTAAGATGATACTATAATTTTGCATTGCTTGATTGCTGTTTTTCAATATCCCATATATGTAGAGATTTTGTGAGGAGAGAGAAATCGTGAAAGATAAGAAAAATTTTGACTTCAAATTTAAGTTTTTATTTTTATTTTTATATATATATATATATATATAAATATTTGGCTAATCAAAACTACTTTTTTTTGATCGGCAGCTAATCAAAACTACTTGCTACATTTGTTGAGCTAAACCACCCAAATTAAAATGGCTATCTTGATAACTAGTTTGATGGAGTTAAAATTTGATGATTTATTGACTATTTTAGCTTTAAAAAAATAAAAATAACTAATTTCATGGAGATACTCTTAAGAAAGGATGAGGCAATTGACCCAACGTTTTATCTATCCTATTGGAATTTTATTTTGTGATGAGATAAGACACAATGCCTAAAATAATCTAGATACCTCTCATGTTAGAGATGTTCTAGAGTCAGCTCAATGCAGTTATACAGACAAAATAGAATTTGGCAGACATTTGACCTATCTATTTATTTTGATAAGACACTTGTTAGTTTGATTGACCAATTACCTGGAAAAATTGACCTGTTCGAATTTTAGCAAACATTAGCAAATTAACATAATTAAAAACCAAAATAACATATAGTACATGCTTCAAGGACTAGAGGTGCATTTAACCTTAATGTATAAAAATTTTATAAGTAGTACACCACTACCAGCTCATCTATATAAATATGTGTGTGTGTTTGTAATTTAGGGTTTTGGAAAGGTTGGAAGACAATAGGAATGGTAGAAGAAGAGTGGTGAATGGCAATGGGATGGGATGAGACATGGGTCGTAGATGTCGAGAGGGGTAGTGAAGGAGGTGACGGTTGGAACGAGGGGTTAAGATGTGGTAGAAACTGGTAGGGCGAGGACAAGTTAGGGGTTGCTAGGAAAATGGGAAATGTGGGTTGTGGGGAGATGATTGCACAAATAATTTTTTATTTTTTTTTTATAGTTTTATCGTTAATTACACTACAGGAATTTACATATTTGCCGACCACTTTTGCCGACCAAAAAATTTTTGTCGCAAAAAAATGACATTTGCCAACCAAAAAACATTTCGTAGCTAAAAGTTGATATTATTACCGACTAAAGTAATTTTGTTGCAAAAAGGTGATTTTTTGCGACCAATTTAAAATGTTAGTCGCTAAAAATGATGTCAGGAGGTGAAAAATTGGGCAGGAACAGTAAAATCTTTTAGCGACTAACACAATTTAGTCATAGATATCAAAACGACGTCGTTTTGATATCTAAATGCACTGGTAGACAATGGCCGACCAAATTTTAGTCGTTATATGTTTAGATTCTGCGACAACAACAAATTTAGTCGCTAAAGGTGAAATGTTTTTTTCATGGGATATATATCACCACCCTTGTTCTATGTTTACAATCATTTGTTCAAACCTCTCACACAGATTCTCCTTTACCACCAAGCCTCACCTCACCTCACCGCAGACCACCACCACCGGCACAGATCGCCACGGCCACAGCCGCAGATCCCCACTACCGTCGATGATCCTCCTCCGTCCTCCGCTGGTGCCTCTCTCTCTCTCTCTCTCCTAAACACCCACCGCCGTCGATGATCCTCCTCCTTCTCCTCCTCCTCCACTGGTGCCTCTGCCGGATCCGAGAAGATCGTCGAAATCTAAATCAGATTTGAATCCTAGGCCGAGATCTAACCGTCGTGAGTGATCAACAGCGACGCAATGGCTTCCAAATCCTACGACAAGATTGCCGATATCTGCGACGACCTCATCCTCCAGGCACATACACTACCCATCCTTCTATTCTATTATTGATCTCTCTTCTTATCAAACCCTAATTTACTCTCTCTCTCGCTCTAGGTTTCAATGCAGGAAATTAGTTTTGAATCCTCGAGATCTTGTAGCCTCTTTCTCTAGTGAGTTTGTATCTACACCTATTTTTGCATACATTGTTATGTTCTTGCTGAAAAAGTACACCATAGGAAAATATTGTCTAAATATATTTTTAATGTTCTTGCTGAAAGGTATTTGATGGGTTTAGGAAATTAGTTTGGCAAATTTCCTGCCATAAGGATATTATGAGGGGAAGGTACTATTTGGCTTTCTAGTTATTTTTATACTGCAAACAAATTGATTTAAAGTGAACAATCTGACTTGCTTAGACAAGTTTCTAGTCTCTTGAGGAGATTACCAGCCATTGAATCAGAGAAATTTCAAGATGATTTCTTGATGGTCAGGGTTTTCAACTCCTTGGCCAATAAAAATTTATTATTTCTTTAGTGCATTAACTAATCATTTTTATGTGTTTGGTTTAGTTAGTTTATCCTCTTCCAAATGGCTAGAGAACTCTGCTAATGGAATTGGTTTTCTTTAAGTTTATTTATTTTTAATTGTATTTGGGTGGAGGAGAGAGGGAGGGTGGGGAATTTATTAGGTTATTTTTAATATGATTTACCGTATTTGTCATTTAGAGGTATTGTACTTAATTGCTGATTCAGCTGACTTCTGATCATATGTTTGATCCCATCACTTCTGTTTGCAGGAATACAACGACACATTATTGATTAGTTACCTGGCCATGTTTACCAACTACTCGAGGTTTGAATTCTGCTCTCTTGCATGGAGTTCATTTTTATCAGTATCAAACTCAATGCTTGATAAAAGAACATGGAAATTAAAATACTTCAGTGCCAATTACTTGTTTTTCTTTTCCGTGTGTGTGGTTTTTGTGTGTTTTTAATTTTTTGAGTTTTGAGTTGGGTGGCATGAGGAACAAAGCTTAGGCTGGTTTATTTTATACCAAAGACGACTGTCAGAATATGTGGGTATAGTGCTTCTAAGATTGATCAAAGTACATCTAGCAAGGGCTACAGGATTTTTTTGGCAAAAACCTGTTAACTTGAAATGTTAGGGAGCACCATCTTCAGCCTAATTAGTAAATACTCATAGTATTCTTTCATGAATGGAATTGTGAATCAATTTGCTAAAATAGCGAATAGTAAATCATATCTAGTCGCAAATCATACTTAATATAATATATAATTTCATATATGTGTGTATATGAATGTACATTACATGCATAGTATATAAAATGAAATAAATGTTAGTATAACTAAAATATATGTATATATATATCCACTTATATTAATATAACTAGTTGCTCTCTCTCTCTCTCTAGGTGAAAACAACATTGTTTCATGCATTATCCAAACAAAAACAAAAACAGAATTGAATCACAATGAGTTGTAGTGAATCACAATTTGAATTGAGCATTCACTCAATTTCCGATTCAATCTCCGATTCAACAGTATGTTCAAAGCGTTTTGGTTGAAACTCTTATTTAATTGTAAATACGTTTGTCAGATGATGAGCATGTTCTCATGGAGTTGAACTTAAATAATGACCAAAATAGAGTGATTCTAAAAATGACTAAGATTTTTGTTTTTGTTTTTGGGAGAACTGCATGCAGGTGTGAGAAGGGGAAAAAATTTCCAACACTTGCACCCTGCAGCCTTTCATTTGCATTTCACTACAGCCACACTTGCACCCCCCATATGTTGATAATTTTTTTTCCCCTTCTCCAACCTGCATGTAGTTTCCCTTTTGTTTTTGTTTTTGTTTTTTTTTATTTATATAATGTACAATATCGTGTTTGTTTATTCTGGAAAGATGTACTGCAACAGCATAGGAAGTTCCTAGCTGGCAAGGAACTGATTTTATGTTGATTTCTTTTCCCTCTAGAATGGAGTTGATATGGCTAGAAGCATGGAAAAACCAAGAACTTTGGATGACGTTACTGAAAAAAACAAACAACCCTGGCAATTGACTGAAATCATAGACCCTGCTCAATGCCGACTGGTTTCCTGTCCAGACAGCACAGATGCTTCCAACAAGGTATGTCCAAGTAATTTTTACTTCTTATTGTTGTGGCAATAATAATATTAATCTACCAAATGATGCTTGACGGACACATGTACACCCAGGTTGCTCGACTACTCTATACAAATTCTGGTGTTGGTGTTTTAGCACTTGGATCTAATGGTATTCAGAAGCTGTGGAAGTGGGTCCGCAGTGAACAAAATCCAAATGGAAAGGTAATAAAAAGTTGGTACTTGCATGTTTCCTGTTTCCTTTTTTTAATTTGTGGGTATTCTGAAGAAGAGGTTTCTGAAGTCAGTGAGGGTTTAAAGGCCACTGCCAATGTTGTTCCACAACAATGGCAACCAAACAGTGGTCTTCTTATGACAAATGATGTCACAGGTGTCAACCTTGAGGAAGCAGTGCCATGCATAGCACTATCAAAGAATGACTCTTATGTAATGTCTGCTTGTGGTGGAAAGGTTTCGCTATTCAATATGATGACATTCAAGGTATGTCTCTGCATGAATTGGTTGCTCGTTTCATCAAAGACTTGAAGTATGAAAGGATTAAATATGGGATTTATTTTGAAATGTAGGTAATGACAACGTTTATGCCACCTCCGCCTGCTTCAACCTTCTTGGCATTTCATCCTCAAGATAACAACATCTTAGCCATTGGAATGGAAGATTCCACTATCCACATATACAATGTTAGGGTGGATGAGGTAATTTGCTTCCTATCATTATTTGAGTGCCGCCATATATTCTTACTGCTTACATAATTATAATCGATGCGATATACTTTGCCTATAGGTAAAATCAAAACTGAAAGGTCACCAAAAGCGCATAACTGGCTTAGCTTTTTCCACCAATCTTAATATATTGGTTTCATCAGGAGCTGATGCTCAGGTAATTTGCACTTCATGTTTTTCGTTCTTCTTTTCTTTTTTCCCCGTAATGTTTTGTTTTATTTTATTTTAAATTGTATGAGAAGGTTTTTTGTTAGGGGTGTAGAGTAAATGGTAAACATGTAATGCCTTGTCATTCAACTATCATCACTTGGAAAAGCAGCCTTCTCTGTACTGTTGCTTTTTCTAAATACAGTATCTGCTTTGAAGGACAAAGAATTTGAACTTGACTCAGCACATGGACATACAAGTTGATCTTATGTAAAACCTGAAACATAGGGAAACCTACATTATCTTGAATTGTTACCTCATTTTATCCATAGATTTCTCGATCTCAATCAGCTTGTCACATCCTTGTTTTTCCTCTTTTCCTGCCCATTAGGGGCCGGCACTGGGCATTCATGATTTTAAGACAATTCTGGCTGAACTTGTACTAATATAGCAACCTTATAAAACATGAATTTGCTTATGTAGAACTTTTATTTGGTTGTTTGTCAAAAGCACGTTTTATAAAACTAACAAATACGCATTTAAATTCGTATTTTTCGCATTATCTTGTTTCTGTGCCCATTTTTTCAACGTACTCTAAAAGAAATTCACGTTGAACTTGAATGTATAATCTACCATTCTTCTGCCACCTTGTATTGTACTAACCGTGATCTTCAATACACCATTTGTAAATCAAATGTATGAAATATGTCTTAATGTATTGTTTTTCCCCATTTATCTCAATCAAAACCTTTTGAATGTGGTAAGTGCTATTGGATGTTCCTGGCATAATCTTTTATTTTTTGTTTTTGACGTCCCAATAATGCAAGACACGAGCACCCTTTCTTTTAATAATATTTTGTGTCTATCAGATTCAGTTGGCAAAACCCAAATCAAGTCCTTTTATTTATCAAAGAAGAAAAACAAAGAAAAGAAAAGAAAAACTAAATCCATCCTTTTATGATTGGTATAGTCTTGCATCCAGTAATCAATTTATTTTTTCTTTTAAGTGATGGATGTTATTTTGACTTGCAGCCATTAGATATTTCATTTGTCATTGCACTTATTTTGTTTTGGCAGTACAATGAATGAGTTGGTTGACAAATTCAACACTGCATACGACAAGCATAGTAGAAGGGGAGGACGAACCGCGTTTTTCTGAAAGCTGCTCACTATTGTCAGTCCACCTGCTTACTTGATATGGATCATTTTGTCTGCATAGCACATAGGAAGTTCAGGAATCATATAGCTTTAGACCTTAGAAGGCATGGCAAAATAGGGTTGTGAAGAGTTTTGTTTTTCCATTTGGCATGTTGTCTTCTTCTGTTCTGTTTTTTTATTTTTTTCTTTTTGGTTGGGGGTTTAAAAAATGATTTTGAATGGGCATATATGCTGTTAACTCTGGTTGAGGATTTCCCCTCACAAATTATTCAAATTGCTTATTGTATCATTTTTCATTGTAGAAAATGCATTGATTGCTGGTGCTTTTTATGCCTGTGCGCGCACAATTTAGCAAATGATGCCTAACAGTGCTGCTTGTTAATTTTAGTTTCTGGGCATTATTGTATTGTTGTGACAGTTAAAAAAATTCTCCTTTGCCAGATCAACTTGATCTAGATCACCAAACATTTGAGTAAACCAAACATCCCTTAGGAGGACCTGCATCTTATATTAGTGAAGAAGAAGAAAAAGGATTTTTATCATGATAAAAATGTCTCTGTTCATTTCATGCAGGAGAACAGAAGTGAACAATCTGACTTATTAAATCAATCGTGAATTCAGTGGCATGGGTTGTTGTAAGAGCTGCAACTGATCCAGTGTTTCCTCCTGGTATTATAGGCGTATATGGTATTCTACGATATAGCCAACAAAAGTCAGCTTAGTCATTGTATTGGGAATTTTTCTTCTCTTTGTTCTTTTGTTATTGTTATAATAAGAACATCAATATCTAACTTTTTTCCTATTAGAATAAATTTTGAGCCAGTCTTTGTGTAAAATTATGGGAAGCTTACCTGATAATTGGGCTTAATAAAAAGATTCAACACTCACACTCTGCTAGGTGACCAAAGCCATGGTAGTAATGGGTAAAGATTCAATTGGAAATATAGTTGAATTAGGATATTAGTAATATTTGGTTTCTTATTATATGGGGGGAGAACAAATTCAATCAAGATATGGGACATCCAAATACTACTCATTGATTTTTCTAAAAATAATGCTTTTATCTGGAAAATTTTCTGGCTTTACACCACTAATTATACCACCTTTGAACTTGATGTGGGTAGGTCACATGTATAGGGACACTTCTGTTTGTGTTATGAAGGTCAGAAGCTTATCAATGACACGGATTATATTCGAAACTTTGGGATCAAAGATGGTGATCAGGTTAGCTTTACATGCTAGTCATATTTATGTTGCTTTCGTGTACTTTGTTTATTTGTGATTTGTGATTAGGAGGTCATTTTTCTTGTCTTATTTGACTTAAAACGCTTCCAAATCTCTTATAGTTAGACATTACGAAATTAGCAATAACTTGAGGCCTACCACTATTGGGCCTTTTTCTACAAGTTTCTAAATGCTAGGTATGACAGCATCTCCAATAGTTGTGCCATTGGTCATGCCAAAGGCAAAAAATGGCTAGGCTTCACAAAATTGGTGCTCCAATAGTGTGCCATTGCTCTAGCTAAAAAATGGCAAAGCCAAACCCTAAGCCAAATTTGGCTCAAGGTTTGGGAAAGCCATCTTACTGCCAAAGGTTGGATCTGATTGGGTTGGGTTAAAATCATCCCAATTTCCGTGACTTAAACACAGAATAGTTGAATTTGGCTAATACTTGTGCCAAAATGGCAAGTATCCATTGGAGTGATATAGCCAAAAATTGGTTTTAGTGCACTGTAGCAAGCCATTTTGGCTTTGACCATTGGAGATGCTCTAATATAAGTCATAAAGTAATTGTTCACTGAACAGGTAGTAATGCATATTTTTCATTTCTATGTTGAAAGTGATTGAATTAGATATTGTAAAAGATGAATTCGATTTCAGCTAAAACAGAGAATTTTTAAGAGCACTATTTTTATGCAATCAAATTCAACTCCTTCAAGCTCTGCTTTCAGGGCCACATCTCCTGTTAAAAAAAAATTCATGAGGGTTTTCCTCATCGCTTCCAAAGCCTGACTTGTAGAGCCTTAAACTTGAAATACTTTGCTGGTTCTACTGATGCAGTAAACCTCACACCTTATTGAACAAAATTAACCCTCCCACCTTATTCTTTTTGCCTCATTTTTGTAACTTTTAGTGTTTCCTTGTTCTCTTTAACCCATTTGTTTAAATCTATCCCTTTTATACGTAAGCTTACACTTTGTTTATACTGGTATCCTATCCTATTTATTGGAATTTTATTTGCAAATTGTTGACACAACCTGTCAAATATTCAAAGGCATTTGTTTCTTGAGCTTACCACCAATTAAACCTTTTTTTTCTCCCGTTTGATTTTTGGTCTTAGAACTTTCTAGATAAAGCCTTATATTTGTAGACATCAAAAGTAGCTGACAGAACTACTATTGGTAATGTTTTAATGTTATGCAACTTCGAGCAGTGATGTATTTCTCCCCTAGATTCTCTAATGGCATCTTCTCCTTCATTTTGGCACTTGAGATTAGGCCTATTCTAATTTTTCTATCCATTTTTCGTCAAAGTTGTCTTATTAATTTTTGGTTGAAATGCAAGATTCCTTGTATCATTTGGTTGATGATGCAAGATTCCTTTTAACCTACTTGATTTGCTAAATGATGGTTCCATCTTTGACTTCTTATGCTGGCAAGTTATACTTCTGGGCTGATGAGTCAGTGAACTGAAAGCTATGTTTAGTGGTTTCATTATCCTCTCTATTTTGGTCTTTTGATTGTGCAGCTTGTCTTTGTCTTTTACCTTCAATAGTTTTCACTTTTCCTTTTCTTTTTAAGTCTCGGTAATTATTCTTATGTTGTTATTATTTATTTATTTATTTATTTTGTTAAAAAATTTATGTTGAATTTACTCTAGAGGCTCACTGAATGTGTTCTCTTCCATATATTAGTTGGGTTATGATCTGCTGTTGACAATCTTCTAACATTTCGATTAATGGAAAATGCAGCTTAAATTTATTCGGAATATGTCCATTAATTATAGACTAGTGAAACAACTATCTAAAAACATCAGGGGTGCTTCCAAACAGTGCTCAATGTAAGAATTTTCTGCTTGGCTCTTATTTTTCATGGTTCACACGTTGATGGTCATACTTGCCCACAAAATAATTAATAATTGACACATATGTCATGATTTTGAGAAGGAAGTTTGTGCAAAAATTATGCCATAACTCCCTACACAATTACTTAGTGTTTTGACGTGGATATTTCTACGTAGGCTGCCACAGTTTTCCTTTATCATTCCACTAAAGAAATCAAAGAAATGGATTCGTCTTCTTTCTGGTTACTAAATGACCATTGTAGAATTGTGTAGTTGAATGGACAAACAATTATAAAAAGCCAAGTGAGGAAAACTGTTTTGATCGAAGAAGATTAAAAAAGAAACAGAATAATCAAACTATTAGTGTTGGATATTTAAATCAAACACTAGAGACCATTTTTTATATCATCGGTTGTCTTTAAACAAAAGTGTTAGTTAACAAACTGGCTTCCGTTGAGAAGTGGATTTGAAAACTATGAAAGCTTTACCCAATGGCATTCGTGATTTCAAGAGAAGAATTGTTGTGTGGAATTTATTTTTGCATTGCTATTTTGCTTTATGCTCGAGACCCACAATTTGGATTCTTAAATTTACCTATAATGATGTGGCAAGAGAAGTAGGCCTTACACAATTGAGTATATGACAACTCAAAAATTAACATGTATTATGTCACATCATTATGGATCAAATTATGGGAAGTTTTTTGTGGGCCTTAAACGTTTTCCATTGTGTTTATTAAATTACCATAGAAAGACCATTTTCAACTGAAGGATGAAGAAATTTATTTTGTTTTCTCTTATATATATGACCCAATGTATTATAAAAAATTGTATTTGTATAAGACTACATGTGAACTATGCTAGTGACATCCATATTGGAGAGCTTTGCCAGAGAGGTTGAGAGCCTCTCCTAATCATTATTCATTTGAAGTTGGATTTCATCTCTATCTGTAGTGGATGTTGACAATATTACCAAGCCATGTCTTGTTGATTTGATTTTCTCTGGTTTTATTCGCAATTGAACAAAAAGAATATATACTTGAAATAAATTGACCGACAAAAAGTGTATCTGACATAGGACATTAGTGCATAAAGATACATATTCAGTCGGACATGCACCAAAAAAATTGTCAAAAGTTACCCTCTTATTGGTTGTCCAGTGTCTTGGAGAAAAGTATCATGTATTTTTGTGAGTATTTTCTCAGCTTGCAGAGAAATGGAACTAATGGTGTTGTTTAACAGGGGAGAGCAGACCAGTACAAATGAAGATGAGGAGGAAGTTCTGGTGCCAAAATTCCAGTGATGAGCATAGTAATAGCAAAAGCAATTCCAATGATGAGCTTTAAAAATTGAAGAAAAATTCAATGTTGAAGACTGGATGTCTGAAAGAAAACAATGGATTAATTGAAGACTATGGATCAATTCATATTGTCAACCTTTCATGAAATATTGTCAACCTTTCATGAATTAGTATTCATATTGTCAACCTTTCTGAAATATGTAGTTTGGAATTATTTGTGGATGAAAACTTGTAATAGTTGCTGATTTTAATTAAACAGGCTCAGAAATGATTGATATATGTATTTTGTTGAATGTTCATGATTCAATTTATTTGTTGGTTTGAATGATTTTTGCAAATTACAGATTATATTGAATAAATTGGATGGATTATTATAAATTACAAGTTTATTTTGTTAGATGTTGGCGACCAAAATTTGGTTTTGTTTTTCTACTTTTGGCGACCAATTGATTAGTCGGGAAAGATAAGTTATACTTTTGCCGACTAAATAAAGTAGTCGGTGTATCACCAAGCACATTTGACGACTAAATAATTAGTCGTTAAAATTTTTAATTTTGGCAACCAAAGGATTTGGTCGCGAATAGGTCTATTGCCAACTAAAGTTTTAGTTGCGCAAACATTTTTTTTGGTCGCGGAATGTGACAATTGGCGACCAAAATTTTTTGGTCGTGGAATGTCACAATTGGCGACCAAACTTTTTGGTCGCAAAATGTGTCAATTGGCGACTAAGATATTTGGTCGGGAAAATATCACTTTTCGCGACCAAAGTGTATTAGCGACTAAATGAATTAGTCGCGGTAATGATATATTTAGCGACCAAAAATTTAGTCGGCAAATCCTACTTTTCTTGACCAACCAAAATTTTGGTCGCGAATCACTTTTGCCGACCCTCAATTGGCGACCAAAGTAGCGACCAAAAAAATTGGTCGCGGATAACTTTTGCCGACCAAAAATGGGCTTTTAGCAACCAATTTTTTGGTCGGCAAAAGTGTTAATTGTTGTAGTGTTAGTAGTTATGCACGTACAATGTCCGTGTTATTTCATCTAGTGTATCAATGATTTTGAATGAGAAGTTGCATTAATTACGTATTTAGTCTAGTGATTGTGTAGTACATTTTGTGACGTGAAATTTTGAATTCAAATTATATAGAGAGCAATTTGATATCATTTGTAGTGATTGATTTATTTCTACCTGTTGATTGACATCAACCATTTTTGTAGCAAACCAACAATGTAAAGGTTTATTGTTACATGTGGATTTGTTGTTTTCGAATGAAAGCCAGTTATATTTTGTAATGAAAAATCATTTAACATGGAGTTTTTGTTTTTTCTTTTCAAATAGAATTTTATTTATTTATTTATTGTAAAAGAAGGAGATTGAGAAGTTTGTAATCATATTTGGATTACAGTATAAAATTAAACATAATACAATGGAAACACTATCCTTGGATGGGGTCGTAGTGGAGCAAACAACAACGAGGAGGCAAGTGGAGATCGGGGGGTGACGTGCTCCCTCCTCAATTTTATGAAATTATATTTTTACTTTTATTTGAAAATTATACCTCTTAAATCTTTGTATCTCATCTTTTTTATTTATTTATTATTAAAAAAACACATTGCAAAATCAAAAGGGCTAGTCCGTTAGTAAATTTTTTTGCATTTCACTATGAAGTTATATGCTCAAATATCTCAATCTATTTGTTGGTTGTCTTATTTATATATTTATTTGTGATTTTTCTCTCATTTTTTGTATTAGCTAATGTTGTATTGATTTTCATCATTAATTAACAAATACAAATCCTTGCAATTTGTCACTCTAAATGTTTAATTTTGCTAAAATATTTTTCTTACAAATTCTATAGTGTTTTTCTCTCTTTTCTCTCTTCTACTCTTTATTTCTCTTTTTTGTGTGTATTGTGTAATTTTTTCATTCTCATTTTTAATAGCGGCATGCAACCGCCTTTTAAATTATAATAGTCATCACATTTACAAAAGTAAAATAGAAAACCGAATTAATAATAAATAAACAACAAAAAATCAACAAAACAAAGGAAAAAACAGAAAATCAACAAAACAAAGGAAAAAAAAGTTGACTAACTCGATCATAACTCTAGATATATAAACATATTGCTCATCTTTTGGTTGTTTTTATCACTAATTAAAAATCAAACTTAGTTGCATTGTGCCTTCAACACAATATTATCCCCCCAACCTGAAATTTTGACTACGACACTATCGAAAAGCATTATTTTATTTAACTGAGAGCCAACTCATAAATTGATTTATAATTTTGATGTATTTTAACTTCGATTAGAGAACCAACTCATAAATTGATTTACAAGGTGCAACCAAAGAAGTACTAAAGTTTTGTATATAAGTCCATGGAGTTTTGTATGTATATATATATATTGGGTTTTCCGTATGCCAATCAAATATATGTACCTCTAGAATCTCGAGGAGCACTAAATTTATAATTATGAAATAGAATTTCATGGGCAAGTAGAATACATACAAATGCCTCTTAGGAACTCATCTACAGGAACACAATGGCTTTGTTTGTAACTTATAATTCAACCAATGCGTTACAAATCATGATTTATGAATCTGAAAAGAATAAACCGAACATGGACAAAATATGTGACATATATATATATATATATATATTAAGGGAAAAAAAAGACGTACCTGCAAAAAGTATTGTCAATAAGAAAGAAAAAGCACTCTTTTTGTCTTTCGTTTGTAATTTCTTTACCTATGTTTGGTTGGGGAATTTAGGGTGAGATTTGGAAAGAGAAAGGAAAAAGGTGTGTGAAACTAGGTGAAATATAGGCATGTTTTATTCTTATTTCACTTTCTTTTTCCATTTTTCTTTCCAAATCTCTTCCAAAATCCCCCAACCAAACACAACATTGTAGTGTCTATCAATAGTAAATCGAGCACGCCTGCCTTTTTTGAATTTCAGAACAAAGTGGATCATTTTTCAATGACTAACCACTGGGTTTTTTTTTTTTTTTTTCCTTTTTATTTCAGAAAAAAATTTATTGTTTTTATAAATTTTTTTATTTTTATATAACTTTATCTATTGAGAGGCCAAAAATAAATTTCAAATTTTTTTTTAAAAAAAAAGTTTCTTTTGATATTTATTTTTATCAAATTAATTTTCAAAAAAAATTCTGAAAAACAAACCAAATATGACCTATTTGTTTATTAAAACAATAAATTTTTTTTTTTTTTTGGGGGGGGGGGGGGTGCTACTGAGGTGAAAGAAAATAATTTATAGGGACGGCTAAATCCATTATTGGAAATTTAACATATTTAATGTTGAATGAAAATGCAATTACCTTTGTTAAATAAATAAAAATTTTACCAAAACTTGCAGTTCAGGGGTGCATAGGTTTGGAATCCTATACAAGAGGCTATCATGTAATCGCATATTTATTTATTTTTTTTTATCGCATTTAGTAAATTTAAAAAAAAAAACTTTGCATTTTTGGGTTTTATACGACCAGACAAATTAGAAAAATATTTTTTTCTAAATATTTTTAAAAAATGGGTAAAAAGTTAAAAAATATATGTTTTTTTTTATTATCTTTATTGATTTTTTTTTACTTTTTAAATTTGTACATATAAGATGGACTTAAAAAATAAAAATTTTGACATAATTTTAAAAAATAATTATAAAAAATATAATTTTGACATAATTTTAAAAAATAATTATAAAAAATATAATTTTTTCAACTCTATGCCAAATGCCAAATGCCAAATTCTCATCGCACATCATTTTCAAAAATAAAAAAATAAAAAAATAAATAAATAAAACTGACTAAGACTGAGACAAGTGGTATTCTTTTTTCTCCACTTTTCCTTGGTTTTCCTATTTTCTCATAATTACTTTGACTTCTTTTCTTTCACTCCTCTCTCTCTCATTGGTTACCTTTTCTTTTTCTTTTTCTTTTTTTTCCTGCTCCACCAATCACCCCCTGCCACGTGGCAAAGGGGGTGAGGGGGTAACCCCCAAAAGGGGGTCCCAAACATTATTCTTTTAAAAAATAAATAAATAAATAAATAAATAAAACTGACTAAGAATGAGACAAGTGGTATTCTTTTTTCTCCACTTTTCCTTGGTTTTCCTATTTTCTCATAATTACTTTGACTTCTTTTCTTTCACTTTTTACAAACTTTTTACTTTGGACCAAGTGCTTCCCAACAACAAGCCACATATCAGATCTGACCACATTATTGTGAAGTTCAATTTCATTCAAAAAAAAAAAAATCAATCTTCAAACAACCACTTTAAGCTCAATTTCATTGTTTTAACACTCATCAATTTGACCAATATAAGCTAAATTTCATTGTTTGGTTTTTTTTTTGTTCATTTTTTGGCAATATTTATAAACAATCAATTTTTTATTTACCTTTCCCATGGGCTTTTAGACCAAAATCTCATAAAAATATTCAGTGTGTTTGGGTTGAGTTTTCTGTATTAAGTTTTTTGAAAATTGAATTTTTTGATTTTCGTATTTTTTTGTTTTTAGTGAATATTTTTAAAATTTTAAACATTTTTTTTACTTTTTTAGATGCACCTTACTTAGATGTATCAAAAAAGTAAAAAAATTGTGAAAAAATATTTTAAGAAATTAAGAAATACATAAAAATATAAAAAATGTACTGAATTCTTGTATTTTTTTTTTGTATTTTCGGTATTTAGTGAATTTTTAAAATATTTTTTTTATAATTTTTTTACTTTTTAGGTTTATTTATGTTAGGTGTGTTTAAAAAGTAAAAAATTTGCATAAAATATTAAAAAAATTCAGTAAAAACAAAAAAATACGAAAAATAAAAAAGTAGAATTTTCTGAAAACTGTTTTTAGAAAATGGGAACCAAGCAAGCTGATTGTTATGTATTTACAAACTTTTTACTTTGGACCAAGTGCTTCCCAACAACAAGCCACATATCAGATCTGACCACATTATTGTGAAGTTCAATTTCATTCAAAAAAAAAAAAATCAATCTTCAAACAACCACTTTAAGCTCAATTTCATTGTTTTAACACTCATCAATTTGACCAATATAAGCTAAATTTCAT